AATGCTATGAAATTCCTTGAAATTCGGGCCGCTTCGCGACCGCGGCGAGTTTGACCTCAAGCCCATCGAAAACGGAATATTTTAGAAAAACCTATGCTACGGTATACCTTAGAGATACGGCGTGCCCTTCAAGATCTTTCAACAATTGTTAGCTGTAGACTAGAAAAGGTGCCGAAATCACTGTTTCATCAATTAGACCAGTGAACTACGTTTTTTTACAAGCTTGTGAGTGTTTGTCCGTAACCCAGCCCATTCATCACTTTTCAATTCACGTGCTGATTGAAGTCATGCAAGCAAGCTTTTGGCAACTCTTTCCACATCTTTCGAAAGTCAAGAATCAGGTATGCAGAAAGCAATTACCCAGTTTATTCAATTGACAATCCCTAAATTAAAGTGCGTATGTGTCGGTGGTTCCACGATTTGCGGCTTGACGCCATGTTCCGTAACAATAGCTACGGCTCGATGCGCCGATTGAGATAGCTCTATTCCGAAGACAGCGGTCCTCATTTCTTTCGAGATCGAGACCATAAACCTAAAAAACTGGAGTTTTAGGCATCTGCTGGCGTTTTTTGAGCTCTATACGGTAGTGATAATGTACTTAAATTTTCGCGAGAAGCTCTTTTGGTTTATTCCCAGGAGGCAAAAGCTTGGCCTTTTTTGGATGCAAATACCCAAAAATCGCATCAAAAATTTGGCACCACGAAATTTGAAAATTATAAAAAATAACGTATTGCGATAGTAAAATAAAAATACGATGTTCTACTAAAATTCTGGAGATTTTTCCTGGCCCACCAGATAGGCATAAAATTCGCTAAATCCACAAAGACCGGCGAGAACTCGAAGAAAAACCAAAATAGGTCCATCGGCAGGGTGTTGCAGATGATCTAAAAACCCGTCGATTTTTGAGTTGTACTAAAATTACCATATCGATCGTACATAGTAGCTGGGTAAAAAATTGCGCTATAGTAGCCACGTGGAAAATCATCTCCCGGCGATTGGCCGATTTTCTATTGCGGGTATACAGCCACAGCTTATACCAGGTGTATATATTGACCATTAATGCGAGACCAATCGTAGTTAGAGCATAAGGATACTGGGTGAGGTAGAGAATGTGCTAAAAATACAGATTATAACCTTTTTTTGCGCTGCTTAATTAGCATTATACACCGTAGTTTGTTTCCCGTAATTAAACGTCCAGCTGTTAATTTTTCAAACTGCATTTTCGATACTTTATGCACTTATAGACTTACAGTCCACTCATAAATCTCCTCGCTTTTTGCCAAATAAAATCCGGGTCCAACTCGTTCAAAATAATGCCGATTCGTCACGGAAGGTGCGGTGTAAAGTACGATACAGAAAATCATGGCAAAACATAGTCTCCATGCATACCGATTCCAGAACTAAAAATAACATCTGAAAGATTACGCCCTCTTTCTCTTTCGGACTATATTTCTCTTTAGTTTTCTCTTTCTCTCGCCCTCTTTCTCACTCCCCTCTCTCTCTCTCTCTCTCTCTCGTTCTCTTTCTCTCCCTCTCCCTCTCTATCGCCCCCAATTCTCTCTCCAAGGCCTTTCGTTCTCTCTCTCTCTCTCTCTCCCTCTCTCTCTCCCTCTCTCTCTCTCCATCCCTTACATTCTCATATCTTTCTGGATACGCCAATGCCGATGCCCTGTTCACCGCAATTAGCAGCGTGCCGGCAATTTGCAATTCGCCGAAAATTGTCGTCGATAGGCTCAAGATTACAGGGATAGGGCCATCCTGCAAACAGTTTTTTGTTACGTTATTTTTCCAGAATGACAAAACCACACTTATCCCGATAAAAATTTGGATCTATTGCATCGAAAATCACCCAGCTTTCACCTGTATTGCCGAGTACCACTCGTGAACACCCCACGTAGGCAGCCGGATCCGAAATAGGTAGCCGTAATGCATTAGCATGTCCTAAAAAGCGGTAGGAATACTGTACTTCTCCAGCGTTACTCTTGGGAATTCAATTCTTTACTTTATAAAAATAGACTTTGTCCCGAAGTTCTATTTGGGATCCAACGGCAAAAGATGAATTACATGAGTTACGAGAGAGAGATAGAGAGAGAGAGAGAGAGAGAGAGAGAGTGAGACCGAGAGAGCGAGAGAGAGCAAGAGAGGCAGAGAGAGAGTGAGAGAGAGTGAGACCGAGAGAGAGAGAGGGAGACAGTGAGAGAGAGCGACGGAGCAAGAGATAGAGAGAGAGATAGAGAAAAGGAGCGAGAGAGAGGTGAGAGAGAGCGCGAGAGACAGAGCCGAGATATAGCGAGACAGTGGGTGGGATATGTAAATTGTTTCGTATAACTTACATTTGTAACAAAAACCAAGAACAGCTTCTGGTACTGCGATTTGAAACCGGCATAATAGTGATACTTTACAATTCGACAGTATGCAAATAAGGTTAATAGTCCCAGCACCATAAAAACACAGCTCGAGATAATTTCGAACGGATCGATGAAATGGGATTCATCAGAGTTGCCAGGCATCAAAATCTTAAAGGAATATAAAAGGATTATTTAAAAAAAATAGTTACTTAAAGTGGCATAGCTTACCATTTTTATGATGCTAATTTTTATTGGCTATTTAAACTGAGTGCTGGAAAAAAACTGACAAGTCCAAGTGTCTCATTTTGTAGCCATAGCTCAGCCTTTGGGTCCGACGAAGTCATCTTGATTGGTGTGGGTATGCCGATTAGCAAAGTTACACTTGAAAATGGGGGCAAAGAATAAATCGAAGGAAAGTTGTGTGACTACTAGTATAGTTCTTTTTAAAACCACTTTTTCCCAAGGGTCCCCCACGTCTCCACATTTTCCACACACAATGTCTTTACACCATATTTTGTCTTTTCCCGACTTCCAGGTATTAAATTTATTATCACAAACACGATTACGTTCAGGGACGTTTTTTTGGAAAAAGCAAAATTTCTGCCGCGACCGGGGGTCGAACCCGGCCCCCCCGCTCGGGAGGCGCGGATGGATACCAGTCGGCCACAGTCAGGCCCGTAAGAGGGGGGCGAGGGGCGAGCCGCCCCGAAATCGGCCGAAGGCCGAAAAGTACATAAGGGGGGACCCTTATGATTTAATTTTTCCAAAAAATTTTTTGCCTGCGGCGCTGTTTTTGTCTATTTTTAACACTAGTTTTAGTGTTATAAACCCTATGTTTTCAAAAATTTTGCCTGCGGCGCTGTAGTTTTAGTCCTATTAGTGAAAAATTTTTGGGGTCGCCCCCCCCGAAATCTGGGTTTGTTACGGCCCTGGCCACAGTTATAACCTGGCGACGGGGCGGGGGGCGCCCCACGCCGCAAAGGAGGGGAATGGCCTGTCACAGCACGGGCAGGCAGTGCGCGCGGTCCCTACGTCCATAGGGTGTACACGTTGGGACGAGTACACGGCCCCTCCCTGAACGTGCGCTTTAAATATAAACCCGTTTTTGTCATTCACGATGTGGCAAAGGGTGTCCAAGACGGTAATCCACCTGAATTCCGTGTAAAATTTTTCAAGGAAAGATCCAACCTCTGCAGCTGCTGTTCCATCTCATAACTAAAAGGACAATCGTCGGATATATCATCATCAGATAGGGGTTGCACATTATTTTTAATAGCATAAAGAGAGATAGCCGAAAACTTACAATTCATACAAATAGCTCTATGAGACGTAGCTTTACCGCGATTGCAGAGGCGATAAGGCCAGCGGTCTTTACAAAAGACTGGGTTTCATCCACATACTTGGTTACAAACCAAGCACAAATCAAGCTTTGTGAAGAATTCAAATTCTTGCTTCGGTTTCAGACGAGGTCCACAGATAGTGCCAATATGAGGTCTCGACTCCCCACAAATGAGACAACGAAGACCCATAACCTAAATAAAATTTGAGTTATTAAAAAAAGAACAAAAGCTTAAAAAATGGCAATACTCCCGCGTATAAGAGGGCAAAAAAAGATTATCCTTCAGTGGCATGGCAACCCAAGGCAAAAACGCCGGAAATAGCTAATCCCGGGGAACATCATATGACTGGGGCAAGACACCGAGACGTCTTAATCCGGGAACAAACCATTCGCTACACATTCCCGCTATTTGCCATGGCTCAAAAGACGCTATACATCAAACCGTTTACACCAAAAATCGCGGAAGGATGAAGATTTACTAAGATATTTAAATTACCTTTTCCCCTTGTTTTCCCCATTACCTTCTGTTTTCCTGTGGTGCGACGTCATTTATTTAATTTTCAGGCTATTGTCTCGTCCTGGATAATTTTACCTAACTTCACGCCTTCAACGAGAGGCGGTATTTTAGGACTTGGTTTTTAAACCTGAATGTAAGTTTAAAATTTGAAACATTTAAAAGCGATAGAATTAATTCTAAGACCACAATTATTTGATCTATAATGTAAGAAAATCATGTTTGATCGGTCTTTATCCGTACAGCATTCGGCTGATTCCAATTCCTATATTTTGATGGGCTTGACGCGCTTGATTTGACGGAGAAAATGAAGCGCCGACCCTTTTTTATCCTAGGAATTTTTTTTAATTCGCAAAATTAGGGTGGAAAATAGGCTTATTAAGTATTTTTTTTTAACAAGACTAACGACGCCGATGTTAAGAAGAATAAGGGATTTAGAGTCGGAAATTTATTTTAATTGATGCAAAGTCCAAAAAGAAGCCGAAAAAATCAAGCTAAGTGTGGGAAAAACAGTATTTCTACAATAACGCAAAAACTACTGTACCGATCGGGCTGAAAGTTTCTGTGAACATTTTAAATTCCATGCCGCACCTCTGTGCAAAATTTCGAGTCGATCGGATTTGAAATAACAAAATGTCAGCGTGACCTTTTGATTGGGACACCCTGTATACGGCTCTTTTGGCTTTGTGGCACTACCGTAATCCGCTAGGATGGATCCCCTGTAAAAAGACCTTTGTTTCAGCACTTGCCATTCGAAGGCAAAGTCAAGCAAAACCCATCATCGTATCTTTTGCCTACAATGCCGCGTACCGAGGCAAATACGCAAGCCTACCTCGACCTCAAAAGGCTGCAGGAATTAATCCAGACGCTGTCAAATATTCAATCTGAATGTAGTCAGATTTTAACCAGAATTCTATTAAGAGGTATGGCTCTTTTATCAGATGATTTTTTTCTTTTTTAGAAACAGCTATGCAGCAGCTGTTTGCTAGCGGCATCAGCTTCCAATGTGACAACTGCCAGCGCGAGCATGACACCGGACCCCACGCTTCTATTCATGCGATAGACGCTATTACCTTTTCGATCAAAACACGCCCATAAATGCTCGTTGTTTTGGTGAATCCGGATGGTGCGGAGGTTTTTATGTCAATTTTAAATTCATTTCCAATAATTTTATGAATATATTTTTATATTTAAATTTAAAATATTTTTAGAAGCAAAAAAAGATTTCCAAATTTTGTAAATTTTATGTATTTGTTGATTTTTTATGAGAAAGGTAATTTAAATTTTTGTGAATATTTTTTATGAAAACTAAATGAATATTTAAATTTTTATGCAAATTTCTATTTTAAATCCTATGTAAATTTCTTAATTCATTTCTACTAATTTTACGAATATATTCTTTTCCAGCGAAACGATTTCCAAACTTTGTAAATTTTCTTTATTTGTTGATGTGATTTTATATGCATGTGTGATTTTTCGTGTCGGTACAATAAAATTTTGACTATTTGCTCTCATTTATCAACAACGCAGCAACAGAATCTACAGGGTAATGAATTTTAAGGGGGTCCATATATTTAGGGTTTACTTTCAGAATGGAGTGTTTCTTGTGTCGTTCTCTTTTTACAGATTCGGGCTAATTATTGTATCTTTTTTCCGTTGTTGGTACCTAGCGGATTAGACCATTCTTCTTGCTCTTTAGGTTACGTAGGTCTGGTTGTGTCCTGTCATTATTAGTTTATTTAGATCTAATCCGTGCATGCGGTTTTGCGGTGTGTGGTCCGTCATCATATCGGCTTATTTTTGGCCGAGACGAGAGAGGATATTTTTTGTCTAATAACCTGATTTCCTGGCATCTGTCTTGACGCTGTGTGGGGGCTGACGTTGTCCAGATTTAGTTGTGACGGATATCGGGATGGTTATTTTTGGCTCAAGTCTAGGAAACCCCCCCAGCCGACTTTTCAACTTTTCTACCTTCCTTATTTTTATTTTTCGCTACTTTTTTTGACTGAACTGCAAGGCAGTCTTACTAATTAGCCTACGGCGAACATTCTGGTGTACTTTAGAGCTCGCTAGCACAAAGGGGGGCCGAGATACAAAAGTTGGTGCCGGCTGGGGGGGTTTCTAGACTCTTACCTTATTTTTGTCTAATAATCCTTCTCGATTGTCTACTTGGTTGTCTGCGATAGTTTGGGCACATGAAAAGTATTTTAGTTTATCGCGTTCGGTATGGCGAAGCTAATATCAAAACAGAACTGGGAAACCGGGAATAGCCAAAATATGGTGTAAAGACATTGTGTGTGGAAAATGCGAAGAATTGGGCGACCCTTGGAAAAAATTGGTGTTAAAAAGAACTATACTAGTAGTTAGGACTATACTAGTTAGCGTGATAGTTGGGGAGGAAAACGTAGCTGAACTTTAGACGGAATCGAAAAGCTGCAAAACCGTCTTAGAAAAATGTATAAAATCTCAAAAAATGTCAAAAAAAAATGTCTCGTTGAAAATGGTAGTAAAGCATTCGCAAAAGAGTCGCGTAAAAAACGTAGTCCAAATTAGCAAACGCTTATGAACAAGGTACATATTAGCTAAAAACTTTCCGTGCAAAACTGCCTTATTTTAATTTTTAAAAAAGGCATTAAAATTCTAGGAGCTTGAGCAACGCGGCAGACCAAATTCCGCGTGAATTCCAAGCTTCAGACCGGAAATCCAAATTTTTCCAAGTATCAATGACCGTCAAAAAATCACCTCCACATTGTCGGCCATCAGAATCTCAGGCAAGTTTTTCGGTAGCACGCAAACACATTCAATAAATGCGGAACGGCCCTCTGGTTTAATTGCCGGATGGCCGGAAATCGGCGCCCACAGGCTTTCGACAAAAAGTTGCTCGCAAAAACCGTCTCGCCATTTCGTTTTCGGTGCGGGCAAAAAGTCTTTAAAACGTTGGAGTTTCGATTGACAAAAAGGGGTTGGGAGAAATTAAGAAAATCACGAAAATTCTCCAAAAAGTCTAAAAAACCTCCAGACGATTTTCAGATTATACTATCTATTCCGAAATCGCCTCAAAACAAATCCGAAAAGATCTTTGCCAGTTTGCCTGCTGACCAAGAATTGCATAAATGCGCTACTCTGTCACTCTGCCACGCATCCATGAAAGAGCGGTATTTTTACGTTACCAAAAGAGCGTGCTTGGAGCTTACCAAAACGGGAAGAAGTTGGCAAAATCAATAAACAATGGCGAGAATTCGAAAAATATCCAAAGCGCGTCGCTCGAGAATCGGCTAGTGATCAACTGTAAAGAAGATTTTTGATTTCCTGAGATTCCGCAAAACGTCTCTGCCGGTTTCAACCAACTGGAAACTTGAATGTGTTCGCGTGCTACCGGAAAGTTGACAATATTCTGATGGCCGACAATGTGGAAGTAATTTTTTAACGGTCATTGATACCTTGAAAAATTGGGATTTTCACGTTAGAGAGTTAGATAGTCAGCGAGAATGAGATAAAGCGAGTGAGAGGAGAGATGGAGAGGGGGGAGGCGAAGGGAAATATTGCGAATCCAGCGTGATCTTACCCTCAGGTCAGATATTTTTCCTGGTTGCAGACCACTAACAATAAACCTAACTATAAAACTACATGGCTCATTTCCGTAATTTATGCAGTGTCTCTTGCAATGTACTACCGGGTGTCTCAAAAAAAAACGACCCATCTGGCATTTCGCCGTGTTACATCCAATCGGTCCCAAATTTGGACCAGAGGTGTATCGGGCCCTAAATAACCACAATCCTGACTTATAGCCCTGTAGCTATAGTAATTCTCGAGTTATAGCGAAAACAAACTTTATGTTCCATTTTTCATAGGGTTTTCGTGGAATTAGACCCCCGTAAACATTAAACGAAAATGATCCGGTAGGCCTTCTTCACCCTAAGAAATTTTTTCCAGAGTAGAATTGATTAAATAAACTTTGATTTAAGCAATTTTTACAACGCAAAATTGCGCAAGTTCTTAAGCGAAATTGGAGATTCACAGCCGGAAGTCGATGCAAAGTCCAAAAAGATAGCCGAAATCACTGTTCAGAATTCCGGGAAAAGCAGTATTTTCGTTATAACTCGAGAACGACTGTAGCTACGGGGCTATAAGTTAGGATTGTTGTTATTTAGGGTCTGATACACCTTTAGTCCAAATTTGGGAACGTCAATGTAACACGGCGAAATGCCAGATGGGTCGTTTTTTGGGACAATGGATTTCCGATTGTTTTCGCAGAGCTACTTGGTCCGACTGATTGCTTTTCTTCTCGAATATATTCTGAAAATTAACCTTTTTCGCCACTTTTCTATCAGGTACTGTTTTTAGAGTATTTAGCTCACTTACACTTCCACTTTCGACTCCTAAAATTTTGTGGCATGACCTGTGGTTTTAGAGAATCGCGGGAATGATTTTATTCCGAATTTTTATGATGTTTTGCAGAAGTCGGAGATCCAAGACGCTCCGGTTCAGGCCTAAATTTGAGAGTTCAAAATTAATTCAAGCTTTTGGTTACCTGGAGGTAACAGTTTCTACCGCTCAACGTGGTACCGGGCGGGCAGAGTCCTCCGAGGGAGGCTAAAAGATGTTTTTAATATTTTTCTGTAGAGCTGTAGTTGGTTTCGCTGGCTTTACGTTCAGAATTCTCAAAAAGCACTTTAATGTGTCTCATCTTTGAACGGCGGATGAAACTTACGTCCAACAATTGTGCCAAGGGATTGCACACAGGTCTTTCCGGAGAGCTTGCAGCCGGGTGGGCAGCTTCCGGCGACGGCCGCTGAAAAAAATAGTAAGCTAGCCTTTTCCATCGGTTTAATTTAATCTCTGATTTTGCCATACCGCTATACGAAATTTTTTTAAGGTACGATATCACGTTGCAGACCTAGAAATTATACTAGAAACTCACGTCCACATGCGCTGGCGGCGAAGACGGCGGCAATCAACTGAAAAAGTAGAATTTTAACTGTTTAGCAGGCCTAATGGATCAAAACGCACCATATACTGATGGAACCCGGAAAGTCTATCAAGTTTAAGTAAAAGGAGACCAAAACCGGGTCAGTTTTGCCTCCCCAGCCCTTTTAAACCCCCATGAAAATTCCCGATCAAAAAATTACCATGAAGAAGACGAAGAATTTCATGTCTGTGGCTTAGTGGGCTGGCTGAATTGATGTATTCAAAGCCGCAAAATTTCGCTTAAATACACCACAATTTGAGCCGTTTCAATCTGGTCTGTTTGCACAGGATGAGGCGGGGGAGTAGGCGGCAGAGGATGAGGATCGGAGCACATTCTGCAAGCTTTCGTGATCGCCCTCCAAAAACGGCTGTAAGGGTCTGAATTGGCACGGAGCGGGGGTCTCACTCGTGGAATGTGCTATTTTGCGGGTGATCAGCACGAAAATTTGTCACTTTCAGTGGAGCCGCAAGTCGAGCTTCAGCCAAGATTCTGAAGGGGCGGACAAGGCATGACGATGGAGTTTGTGCATTACGAAGAACTCATAGATTTTGCCACGCCACGACACGAAACGCACGCAAACGCACACCGAATCATTCTGTTGCGTCTTAAAGGGCGCGTTCAGAGACGTTTTTTTTTGGAAAAAGCAAGGATTTTTGCCGCGGCGGGGGGTCGAACCCGGTCCCCCCGCTCCGGAGGCGCGGATGCATACCAGTCAGCCACAGCTACGATCTGGCCAGGGGGTGAGGGGCGCCCCACGTCGCAAAGGAACGAAATTGCCTCCCACGGCACGGGCAGACAGTGCGCGCGGTCCCGACGTCCATAGGGTGTACACGTTGGGACGAGTACACGGCCCCTCCTTGAACGTGCGCTTTAAAGCACTGCCGACTGCATGTGTCGATCCCCCCCCAACAACAAAAAATTGGCAAGTAGCCAACAGGGCAGAGAGCGCGCCCTGGGCAGACGCGCAGAGGCATCTTCTTTCCAGCGCGTAACCGATTGACTATGCCGTCGGCCTCTCTTTAATTACGTCTCAAGATCTCTATCCCAGTTTCGAATGCGTTGCGTGACGCGAGAGCGGTGAAATTAAAGTATCTCAATACGGTAAGATTCAAAACCTTGCCTTCTCCAGCTACCCATTACCCAGCTTACATTCAGTGCAACATCACGAAGACGAACACGTCTAAAACATTTTTTTGCAACGTGGTTTGCGTATTCCGACGGCGAGCCAAGGTTTCTTGTTTTATCGCCTCGGGTTTTTTAACGTCGCCAAGGTCCTCAAAAAAATTTTTTAACTCTAAATATTTGTGTTCGTTGATTCTGGACTTTGCTGCGTTACTTGAAGCGAAGTTTGGACTGTGCTCCCGCACGGAATTCCACAAAAATTTGAAACATTTTCCAGCAGAAAATTCTAGACCCAAAAGGGCTGACGAGGCTGTGTCAATAGTAGCAGCAAATTAATGAAAACGCTGCAAATGGTAGCACAAACTAAAGGGCAAAAATTTTCAGATTTGAACAAATTCATAAATACCCATATTAAAAAGACGACGTCAGCAGAAATTTGAATCCTCCGAAAAGGCATTAAAGAACCTCGGGAACGAGTTGGAACGAGAACCAAAATTTGCATATTTGCAGCTTAAAAATGGGTAATTTGATGCATTAGAAATTCGCATATATTTGCATGCTTAGCACCGGCTGGAGAATGGTGCTGGTGAAAAATCAGCCATCTGCCCGCCCCGCGCCAACTACTCGACGACGATGCGGCACATCGGCGTGAACCCGGAACTGCAGAATCGGCTGCCCCGATTCTACAGCCAGATCACCAACAACAAGGTTGGTCTCTCTTTCTCTCTCGCTCTCTCTCGCTCTCTCTCTCCCACTCTCTCTCTCACTCTCTCTCTCTTTCTCTCGTTCTCGCTCTCGCCTAACATTCGTTTTTCAGTGGTTCACGCTCAACGACGTGGTGAAGCGGATCGACTTCTTCGACGTCATCTACCTCTACCTGGTGTTTGGGCTGACCGTCGCACTCGTGTTCTGGATTCGGTATATGCAGTTGAGGTAAAGAGAGCGAGAGAGAGTGAGAGATAGAGGGAGAGAGAGAGCGAGAGAGAGGGAGAGAGAGCGAGGGTGTGAAAGCGCGATCGAGGATCTTTTCAGGATGCGCTTCATCCACAACGAGGACGTCGAGTTCTGGCGCCAGCGGCTGGCCCAGCAGCTCAAAATGGTGAGCACCAGCTCGTGCTCAATTGGAAATGTTTGTTTTCAGGCCGAGCAGCGCGGGAAGGCGAAGGGCACGGCTGCTGTCATTCAGCCGGCGAAGAAGAGCGAGACGGAGACGAAGGGATCGAGTGAGGACGGAGGGGTACGGCCGCACGTCTCCAAGAAGGTCATTCCCGAGAAAATGCCGAGTGCCGCAAAGGTATGCTTTTTACACGACGTTTCAGGAATTTTCAGAATTGCCATCATAGATACCTTTTCAGGTCAAGAAGGAGGAAATCGACCCCGGCGACGACAAGAAGGCGGCGTTGCCCAGGGCCAAACGCGGAAATCGTGTCGAGTTACTTGCCGAGCAGGTTGGTCATCTACCATCTATTTTAAGGGCTGAATCTTAGGAGCGGATGATCGACGACCTGCCGGAGACGGTGGTCGAGGGGGAGATGCAGAAGAAAAAGAAGAAGGGCAAGGGCGGCAAGACGAAGACGGTCACAAAACAAGAGACGGGAACACGGAGCGGGACAGAATCGGCGGCACACAAGAAGAAGCAGAGGGTTAAACGTGAGGGAAAGAGAGAGACCGAGAGAGAGAGAGAGAGAGAGAGAGAGAGAGAGAAAGCGAGATAGAGAGAAAGAGAGGGATCGGTCGTTACTTTTAGCGAGGACATTTATGGGTAGTACAGCATTTTTTTTTGCGTCTACCTGTTATAATAATTAGTGATTTTTATAATGTAAGCGTCAAATTCCACAAATTTATACGTTTTTGATAGCTTTTGAGAGCTAAAAACCAAGTGAATAGCTGTAAAAATGGATTACATTTTGCTCGAGGACCGTATAGAATTACTGGGGAAAAACTGGTCTCCCCTGCTAACAGTCCAGTACCGAAAAAATGTCTTTTTCAGCATCGGGCCGCTCCGGAGCTGCGAAACCACAGTCTCGCGAGAAGAAGACGACGACCGAGGCGCAGGCGACCAAGACGAGGGACAAGGATACCAAATCGCAAGATGGAGGAACCAAAACCGTCGGTGGAGGCGGCCATTCGGGTGGCCATTCCGGCACATTCAAGATCCACATGGCAAGGGCCGGGGTAAGTGAATTGTCGGTATTGGACTGTTAGTGGGGGGGGGCGAACATATTCTTGCTAGGTAGAAAGCTATATAAATACAATACATAGACGTTTTTGATAGCATTCTAAACACTTTTGATATCTAAATTTACAAAACACCTAAAAAAATTGAAAAAATGTGCGAAGTAGTTTTTTAATTAGCTTCTTTCAGCCTGAAACGGTGGTCTCGGGGCGCCAGAAGCGCGGCAAGTCCCCGCCGCCAAAACCTACTGTAGGCTTCTCTCGGCTTAGGTTGCTATTTTCTTGTAGTCTCAAAAACCTGCGGCATCGGGCGCGAAGCCCGCCCCGAAGAAGCCGGCGGAGAAGAGCGGCAAGACGGAGAAGACACAGATGTCGATCGGGCCGAAGGTAGGGGAGAGAGAGCGAGAGAGAAAGAGGGAGAGAGAGAGAGAGCGGGAGAGAGAGTGTGAGAGAGTGAGCGAGAGAGTGAGAGAGAGAGAGCGAGAGGGAGAGAGTGAGCGAGAGAGTGAGGTAGTGAGAAAGTGAGTTCGATGGTGAGAGTGAGCGAGAGGGTGAGAGAGAGAGAGAGGGCGAGAGAGAGAGCGCGAGAGAGTGAGAGCGCGAGAGAGAACGATAGAAGCGCTTTCATTCGCTAAACTTGATTTTTCCAGGAAACTGAGGCTCCAAAAGAAGCGCCAGCTACCCCGGCCGACTCGCCGAAGCCGCCGTCAAGCGGCCAGGGCAAACCTGCCCCCCTCGCCGATCACGACCAGCAGACCCAGGCGATGACCGTCGTCCCGAAGAAGCCGGCGGCTTAGCTCCAATTCCAGAGCCAAGATTTTTGCCTGACTCGCCCCTTTAAATCTCGCTTTTTTCTTTTGCCGGCCCCGTCACTAGATAAACCTTTGCCTCTAGAGGCTTGAAAGAGAAGCCGTCCTTCTCGAAATTCCTCTACGCATTTTCTTTTTCTCCATATTGAAGTCGCTTGTGATACGATAAATGATGTCTCCGGTCGAATAAATGTTTTTGCGCCAATGTGATTCCCGTTTCTCTGACATTTGACAGATTTTCCGGTGATTTTATTGCAGAGAAACATCGAGGTGTGTCTATTAGTGCGTAATTTCATGGGTTGAATTGTCTGCTTTTTATCTACGCATTTGACTATAAAACTCGTAATAAGATAAAAAGGTATAAAACTCAAGAATTCACTTGAAAACATCATAAACGACCACCCCTGATGGAAAATCCGGATTTTTACCCTCTCAAAATCCTAGGTAGTCATCTAGGCTATACATGGGTCGACGCTTGCATGCGCCCGCATAAGCGTGACTGGCCACGCTCTTCCGGAGCGTGGAGAACCACGCTTATGCGGCGCTTTATGCGTGATTTTTCACGCTCACACTTTAACTCGAGATGCAAATCAAAAATTGCAAGGCCATAAATCAATGATTTCGATTTGCTAAAATGGATTACCGATATATAACAATCAAGTGCCTGTTTAATTTTTCATAAATAAACATTATAGATAGTGGTTTAACTTTTTGATACTTAACTTCTTGAAAACTTATCGATTTTTACGTATCCATGCCCTTGGAAAATGTTGATTTTGCATCTTTTGAAACTTTGCATAAGTGTTTCCGGAGCGTGGCTAGCCACGCTCATTTTGGCGTGGTTTGTTAAGAGCCACGCGCGCCAGTGTGGCTCTCCACGCTCCGGAAGAGCGTGGCCAGCCACGCTAATGCGACGCATGCAAGCGTCGACCCATGTATAATCTAGGCACCCCTGGTCCCGGTGGCTAGCCCTTCCTGCCATCGGTGCGCGCCGAGGGATGTAGGAAAATACCGTTTTAGTTTTTCAATATTATAAAATCGGGGACAGCCATTCTGCAAAAATGAACCCCATAGCGTTACTCAGATTGAAATTCTCTATCGAATGCACTATCTTTGGAAATGATTTGCGTATGACTCAAAAAAAGCACTTCTTATTAGGTTTTTCTCATTCTCTGTTTTTATGTCATGATTTAATGTAGTACGTACAATACGTAATTTTTATGTAATAGGTACGTAAGTTATGTCGATAAAGCCGACCCCTTCACCGAATTCTAGCCCTTCAGCTAAACTCTAAAAAATCGTCTCCGACTTCCGCAGCATTCCCAAAAGTCAAAATGAGAAATGTGTAAAAATCAAAAAGCCTTCCCCCTAAGGTCTCCTGTCAAGGCTGAGTCAACATTCCGACGCTGGGAGAAAAAACCCGCGGGTCTGCAATTCTCTGCCTGTCCCCGGAAATCGGCGACAACGGAAAATGCTTTATTCTGGAGATTTGGAGGAATGCGGTCCCTAGATGAGCGTGTTGGTCTAAAAAAATATCAATATTCAAAAATATCGTGCCTGTAGGCACAAATTGAAGGCGCCGAGGATGAAGTTCGGAGGGCATTGGCCATCGATGGCTACTAGAAATGGGTTTTAGACATCGACCTCTCACAGCATCTCTCTCGCTTTCTCGCAGTCTATCTCGCTCTCTCTGTCTTACTCTCTCTCTCTCTCTCTCTCTTTCTCTCTATCTCGCTCTCGCTCTGTTCGTGCCACTGTCTCTCTCTCAATCACGCTCTCGCTCTCGCTCTCTTCGTTCCTCTGTCTCTCTCTCTATCTCGCTCTCGCTCTCGCTCTCTCCGTGCCTCTGTCTCGCTTTCCCTCACCTGATGTAGATACCGAGTTCGCCTGGAAATACTCCCCAGCCGTATTGCAAAATCCGCAAGTGAGCGCACAGTTCCTCGACCTCACATCAAAATCGACGGTCTCCTGCACGCAGTACCCCGACTCCTTCATCACTTTGCAGGTAGAGTTCGTGTCTTTGCACTGGAAAGAGGGTTGTAGGAAGAGAGTGGCAGAGAGAGAGAGAGAGAGAGAGAGAGAGAGAGCAATTTCTATACGAAAATTTACCGCAAAGCATTGATCAACGTTGTTGTGGTTGATGCATACCATGTCGGCCGGGCAAAGGCCGTTTTGGGTGGCATCTGAATAGCGAGGATATTTTTCAGAGGTTTTTGTGACGTTTCAGTAAGCTTCCGTAAACTAGGTCAAGACAAATCCCAGCGGATGCTATTAATTCAATTTTAGTGATTGCTAGTTGCTTTAAAGGAACGCACAAGCCCAGGTGAGGATCACGTCGAGAGTTTTCCCAGCTCGCACACGCAACGCTGTGTGCCGGTGGCGGCTGCGAATGTGTCCGTTCGGAATCCGGAATCCGGAATCGCGCGCCTGATGGAAAGCTGTCCGGCGCGTTGCGTATCGCGATTCCGGTAAGCTCCCAATTAAACCCGACAGGCCGGCGAGACGCAATGGGCAAACGCATTGCACGCCCCTTTATTCTCAAAATACAAGTATCCTCTAATTAAGTAAGCACGACTACCTACTCTGTACGGCCGTGGCTGGGTGCACGAAATTCGGCTTGGCCGGGCAGATACTGGTGGTGACAGTGAAGAACTAAACGTTAACTCTGGTACCATCATCCTCTGAAGATTCATACCGTAACCAGGATAAGCAAAACCGGCAACATGTTGTAGTTTTCCGGTGTCCGGAGGTGTCCCGCGTAGTTCGGGAACGAAGAATGGGCTTTTGGAAGTCTAGGGGAGGAGAACGCATATCCGGGCGGCCGGATTCTCCCTCTCCCTGACCTGTCCAAATATTTGAAGCGTTTTTACAATGTCGCGCAACTCGAGGCTGTGGAAAAAAATCCACAATTTTCACATTCCACGTGGGTTCGTTCGTTTCTGAGGCCCCCGATCGCACGGACCGGAACCCTCATGTTTGATGCTGAACTTGTTGGAATTTGCTAAGCCCAGGCCTAAGTCTGAGCCTAAGTCGAGCATAAGCCTAACCCCAGCTAAGCCCAAGTTAAGCCTAAGCTAAGTCTATGCTAAGCCTAATCTAAGTCTAAGCTAAGCCTAAGCCAAGCCCCAGCCAAGCCTAGGCTAAGCCTGATCAAAGTCTAAGCTATGCCTAAGCTAAGCCTACGTCAGGCCTAATCTAAGTCTAAGTTAAGCTTAAGCTAAGCCTAAACTAAGCCAAAGCTAAGCCTAAGCTAAGTCTAAGCTAAGCTTAAGCTAAGTCTGAACTAACCCTAAGCTAAGCCCACACGAAGCTTGACGCGAGGCCAAGCTGAGCCAAGCCTAACAGGGGCCAAAGCAGGCGCTATACGTAGCCTGTCATGCCAGTCCATACCAGTCAAGACGAAGCTTATGCCAAACGTCAATGGAACGTAGAATTCTAAGACTTACATCGAATACAAAATTTGCATAACGGACCGAGATATATCAACCGCCAGAGATTCCAATTTTTTCACAAAAAAACCTGAAAAATGTGGTTGCTTCTACTTCTACTTCTCAAATCGATGGTGGTGGTGGAATCGGTGCACTGCTTCAGCGGGTCAGTCATTTCCAGGCATACGAAAACATGGCAAGCTAGCAGAGATTATTCACAAAATCTTCTCGGCAGCATCAGCATTATTGCGTCTTTTTCAGTTTCAACGGGAAGGTGGCGTCAGAGGAGTGCCTGGACGACGAGGCGATGTGCTTCCGGTATACGATCGAGGCGGGAAGTATCTCTGGGTGCTCACCGGATATGAGGGAACTCAATGATGTGTATATTGAGAGGTGGGATGACAGGGAGAGAGAGAGCGAGAACGAGCGAGAGAAAGCGGGAGAGAGATAAAGAGAGAGTGAGAGAGCCAGAGAGATAACGAGAGAGATAGAGAGAGAACGAGAGCGAGGGCGAGAGATGGAGAAAGAGCAAGAGAGATTAAGAGAGATAGAGACAGAGAGAGAGGGAGAGAGCAAGAGAACGAGAGAGAGAGAGAGAGAGAGAGAGAGAGAGAGAGAGAGAGAGAGAGAGAGAGAGAGAGAGAGATGGAGAGAGCGTGAGAGAGATGGAGAGAGCGTGAGAGAGATAGGTAGTAAGCGGTAGAGAGAGAGAGAGAGAGAGAGAGAGAGAGAGAGTGAGAGAGCGAGGGTGAGCGAGCGAGCGAGAGAGAGAGGGGGAAAGAGATGAAGAGAGGGAAAGGTCGACAGCGAGAAGGCGAGAAAGCGAGAGATGGTGATGACTGATTTTTCCACATTTTCAGGATCTGGTGCCCAAAAGCGGGCAATTTCCACGGCACCGACATCCCCGACCCGATCATGATTAACGGCCAGCCGCCCGAAATGTCGAAAAACGCCTCCGACAGTCTGCTCTGCTGCCGGGGCGACCGCTGCAACACGGCCAACACCAACTTCTGCCTCATTTACATAGTTTTTGCCATTTTTCTTGCTCTATTTTAAACATTTTCTGTGTGTTTTTGATGGTTTTTAGGATGCTTCACTTCTCGTGTATTTCATAGGATAACCGGTCTGCGATTCGAATAAATTTTAAAAAATAACCGATTTCTGGCATGTAATTCTGAAGGTATACTTTATTACCCGAAGTGTCACAAACACACGATATTCACAGAAAACAGTAAAATAATGAGGTAGTAGGATAATAATCGGTTAGAGTGCAGTCCACCCTCCCTCCTCCCCAGCCGGCATCCAACTTTTATATTTCGGCTCCCTGTTTATCTACAGGTGTTTAAAGTATACTAAAATGTTCGTCTTACTCTGGTGAGTATTTTGGTATACTTTACATACCTGTAGATGAACAGGGAGCCGAGATACAGTAGTTGGGGGCCGGCTGGGGGCAGGGGGTAAACTGCACGTAAGCCTAATAAACACCAAATTAACCATAACTTAAAAGAATTGGTTATGGCATGGTTTTGTTCTCCTTCAGCTCCTCGAATTTTACCCGTTTTTCCTGTCTCAATTTGATCCAATTCGGCGGGAAGAAGTCTTCTTCGTCCAGTTCGCGTGAGATACCATTGGGCTTGGAGTAGTTCTCAAAATAATGTGGCATATTAATAACATTAGGAACCGCGTATAAGGCAAAGAAACTGACCGTAATTTTCTAAAGAATATTTTTAAGCGATACCTCAGCATAATACACATTCGCGGTTCCGCCACTCCCCAGAAACCCAATAAACCAGCCGAAAGTGGAAGCAGGAGCTGAAAATTTGTATGATACTTTAGGGCTACTGTAAGTGCAATATACCAGTTAATAGCACGTTTGAGCAGAACTTGTGCGAGACGCCCAGGTCAAATTCTGGGGTTGCGGAAGTTACGAACACGAAGCGGATTCCCTCAACGTCCAAATACTTCTGATTTTGGTGTTCAAACCTGAAAAATTCTATAGAGTTTATGGCTCCAGTTGTCAGAGAATGCTACACAGCAACTTACGACTTGGCTTCAGGATACTGGAAAACCTCTTCTAGCCATTTCCGGTCGTTAGAGAAGAGAAGTACGGTAGGGCGGATGCGTGGGAAAACTGGAATTATTGGATGAAAACGGGGCTAAGCCAGGCCTAAGCGAAACCTAAGCTAAGCCTAAGCTAACCGTACTCTAGGCTAAACTTTAGCTAAGCTTAAGCTAAGTAAGCCTAAGCTATGTCTAAGCCTGAGTCTAAGCTAAGCCTAAGCTATGTCTAAGCTAAGCCTAAGCTAAGCCTAAGCTAAGCCTAAGCCAAGCCTACTTTTTCAACTCACGCTTTTTCACCAAGAACTCGGTAGCGCTTTTCGTAAAATCAGCATCGGAGGGTAGATGAAGCGGTGAATTAACAAAGTCCCCTCTTCTCGCGTGGACACAAAACCTAGAACTACCCTGCTGATCAGAATTAGTCGACTTACACATTTTGAGACATATATTCTGACGGAAAAGCCTGATCGATAATCATTGAGGTGACCGGGGCGGGGGCCAGCCATTCAACGATTTTGTCCCGGATGTCCCAGAAGTATTTGAAGCTCTGCAAAAAGCAAATCAGCTTATACTCCCGCTCAACCTCTCTCTCGCTCTCTCTCTCTCTCTCTCTCTCTCTCTCTCGTTCTCCCTCTTTCTCTCTCCGCCGCTCTCTTTAACTCTCGCTGTTTCTCTGGTTTTCTCCTTCGCTCTCTCTCCCTCTTGTTCTTGCTTTACTTAGCTCTCTCTCTCTCTCTCTCTCTCTCTCTCTCCCTTCTAACTGTACCTGATAATAAATCCCATACGCCACCACCAGCCTCTCTCGCTTTGCTTTCAACAATTCCATATTTGCCTCACTATATCGACAACAAGCATCCCGGCCAATCGATACTTCATGGAAGGCACTCGGCTAAAATTAATTGAATTTGATTTTCTAGAATAGAAACGACGACAAAAACGAAAGATTTAAAGTGTCCGCAATCAGACGGAATCAACCCCCGGTTTTCCTGGGTCTCGAACACTCCATGAGGGCGCCAACTCGTTGATGTCTATTTAATCGAGGCGTTGAGGTGAATCAAAGAATTCAAATACGTTCCCATGCGTATTTTTGGAATGCGTGTGTAACTGTCAAAACGCGGTCAAGTGCAGGGGCTGATTCTGGCGCTTTTTAGTATTTTTCAAGGGATGTGTAAGGCGCAGGGGTTTCTCTGGCCATTTTTTTTCATTTTGTGTGGATTTTATTTATTTTTGTCGATTGCTTTTTGGATAAACGCATTTCGACTCTTGTTTTGTACACACTTGGCAAAGAGTAGCACTTACAAGGAGACGTTTTTAAGTGTCGTCGGGACTTTGGCATGGGACCAAGCCTACCTTGTGCAAAATTTTCGCTGATTCCGAATATGTTAACCGTTTTTGCGGAATAGCCATTTCTCGAAAGTTATGAACAATTTAAACCTCAAAAAAAGGGCTGCTTTCGATCGTCATTAAAGGCTTCGGAATAGGTTTTAGACAAAGCCAAATAGTGCATCTTGTTCAGAAAAAAAGTCTCTATAAAATCTACCTTCTTCTCCGAAATGATTGAAACGTTGGAACAATTTGATAATTGCGAGGCCCCAAATTTTACAAAAATTTTCAAAATTCCAACATTTTTGAGTTAAGTAGCTTATATTACAGAGAATTTTTTTGAACAAGATGCACTATCTGGTTTTGTCTGAAACCTATTCCGAAGCCTTTTATGACGATCGAAAGCAGCCGATTTTGGGCTGTGTTGAGGTTTAAATCGTTCATAACTTTCGAGAAATGGCTATTCCGCAAAAACGGTTAACATATTCGGAATCAGCGTAAAATTCTGCACAAGATAGGCTTGGTCGCGTACCAAAGTCCCGACGACACTCAAAAACGTCTCCTTGTTAGCCCTGCCGACCTAGGCAGCCTAGGTTGTCTCTTCCTAGTACTACATTTAAACATCTGGCCCCGATTTCTCAGCATGTAAAGTTCCACAAGCTCACCGGCAGCATGGAGAAGTGCAACTGAGGTGCGAGGGCGGGGAAATTTTGGCCGATCGCGATGAGACGCGTCATCACCTGGCTGTGCTCAATGTTGACGGTCGCGATACTAAAATACGGGGGATAATCACCCCGGGAATGTGGGTTGGGTACGCGCACTCAAAACATGTATCATCGACCAGTACCATTCCGGGACCAAAAAAGACCTCGACGCTTGACCAGAGCACGGTATCAGATCAATTTTTGTGCTAATAAGCACGCAATTTATTGAATTTTACAACGGTAAAAAAACTACCTAACGATATTTCCAATTTTTTGTAAATTTTTGCATACCGATTTGTCTGCGCGGCCATTCCGAGCAGTGCGACCAGCTCGAATAATTGATTGCATAGCCCGGTGCCGTATTGGATGGCCAAAAAGGGTACGGTTAGGAGTTTGTCGTCTAAAAAATACATAGATAATTATGATTCGATTATTTTTGATTTTGAAGGTAATTTCACCGCTCACCTGCATCCGACGATCGCCATTCTATCCGGGGTACCAGCGCTGTGCCTTGGCATTGTCTAAATTGGCAAATTCTTTGTTTTCTTTCCATCTTTAGTAACGGGATGCTTAATAATGTTAACCTAATAGTGTTGAATCGTATTTAGCCTTTTGACTAAAAATCTACCTTGCCTATGGTATATTTTTACAATTTTAAGCGTAAGAAAAACTCCGCAATCACCCAAGAACCTATTTTGGTCGCGCGGGGTCGGAAATCGAATTTTTTTGCCATTAAGGGTACGGACAAAGCAACGCCAGAAATGTTCCAGAAACGCAATGCGTTCTTCCGCTTTTGATTGCGTTATGGATTACGGAAAGTAACAATAGCGAGGCGGGGTATGCGCTGCGTAGGAGAGCTTCTGGAAACGGCTAGCGAAAATAATTAATGGTGCAGCCTCGCCGGTTCCTTTAATCTTTTTTTGTTTTTGACCCTCGCCTACCAATTTTATTCAGTTTTTCTTTTCGTTTATTTGAGCGTAATTTGGTCGTCTGGGGTAGGTAGAGGCAGATGTGTGTGTTTTCTTAGTCCCACTATCTTCCCGCAAGATCCCCGAAATCGCGCTTGGGGCCGCGACCCCGTCCGAAAAAGTGCAAAATCCGGGGGGTGGGGGAATAATTAATGGCGTGTGATGTTCGTGCTCCGTTTCGGCGGGATGGCCCGCAAAAATGGACAAAGTTTTCTTAACCAAAACTCCATCTATGAAATCAATTACCGGCTGTGGAATTTTTATTACCAACTAAATTAAATTTGGTTTCATAAAAACTTCAAAATCTGCTAAGTAAAAATGATTAAAATTTTATGCTTATTAAATCATGTGTAAAATTGACCACTCGCGTATTTTTCATGCTCCAAAACTAGCAAAACCTGATGCCATTCGGGTTGAGAAACGTTGGTTCTCATGGAAACCCAACATTTTTGTTGCTGCCGGTTGCTCCCCGGTTCATTTGGGGTACACCCAGCCAATTCGTCAAGATTTTTTTTGAATCACCGGCCCCTTATTCGATTGGGGGATTAGTTCATTGCTCTCCGTACACACTTACGTTGCAGTTTATAAGTTTCTGTATAAGTTTTCTGCGGATTCCTCCACTCCTACCTTACGAGACTATCGCTAGAGCCATCAGGTAGTTTTTGAAAACTATCAAGTTTCTGGTAAAGCTTTGTAGCATAAAAAGCGTCCAGCAGGGATTTTGTTGAATTTGTAATTTCGGCCATCATTGCTTTTCCGCTACCCCAGGTTCGAGGGTTCCAGGATTTCAGGATTTGGGAGACCTTAATTGGATTCGGAAGTAGAACCACGTTAAATCTCTCGCAAATTCTCAGCACCAGGATTAAATAGTAACACTAATGGCCTTCCCAGTCCTTTTAAACCTCAAAAATGGCTACCCATCATTACTTTTAAAGCCATTACTTCTAAAATTCTAAGCCTCGTTTTGGGCATAAACATGGCCAAACGTGCCGAAAAACTGGTAATCTGGCGTACCAAATTTTAGAAGTATCGTTTTTAGAAGTAATGCCTTTTAGAAGTAATGACTTTTAGAAGTAATGATTTTAGAAGTAATGATTTTAGAAGTAATGATTTTAGAAGTAACTTTAGAAGTAATGATTTTAGAGGTAATGATTTTAGAAGTAACTTTAGAAGTAATGATTTTAGAAGTAATGGTTTGAGAAGTAATGATCGTACCCCCTCAAAAATTACCTGAGCCTCTCGCTAATTGATTGTCGATCAATAAGGACATGATTTAGGAGTAGTACTAGTGGAATGGTCGGTAATAACAGAGCAGAAGCGCACGTCCAAGGTCTCATAGCGTAGACTTAAATGTAGGCGTCGGCTTAGGTCAGAGCTGATGCAGAAGAGCTCAGAAATATTCAGAAGAACTCTGAGAGACTTTAGATCAGCTTAGAAAAGCAGCTCAAAGGTCAGAATACAGACGGGGCCTGATTTGGAAGCAGGAGCGAATTGTGATGCGCTTGGAAATCAGGGCTCAAAAGCGGAATATCAATCCAGAACAGCTCAGAATCAGTAGACCTTCAAAGTTCGAATTCACCAATAGAATCAGGCTCAAAGGCTTCCAGAACCAAAATAATGCTTCAACCGTGTTTCGAATTTGGTTCAAATTTGGTTCCGTTCAAGAAAGAGCAGAATTCTGAAGCAGGTACTGATTTCTGGATTTAGAAGCGGAATAAAAATACAGTAAATTATTCTATGGCGTCCAATCCAGCGCCGTGCCCTCAACAGGAAGTGCGGAAAGTTTTGCCGCAGCCAGTTGGCTTTCGCCCGATCGTTTCGTTCATCCGCCGTGGTGGGCTTTGTTTTTGATGGCGCTATTCCGGCGAGGGCCGAAATTTGGGGGCCCTGACTTTGTTCAGCCGACGACGATGCACCCTGCTTTTCACCGAGTCAGCCGATCCGGATTGTCACATTGCACTACGCAAATAAACAGCACTCGCCAAATTTTGGGACGATAAAAAAGGATAGAATTCGACGACGTCATGGCTTTATTGCCCGGTTTACCAAAGTGGAAACGTGCCGGAAATCAAATTGGGATCCCACACTGGGTTTCACGGATTGGTGGTGGAGGGTGAAGCCTGTGGATTCTGGTCGCCTTTGTGCCGTTTTTCAGTTCTGCATCCCAAATTTTTAAAAAATGGATTGTATACACATTTTCCGTTGCATAAACCTTTCAAAACCCTATTTCCGAAATTCATTTTGTCGAAAATCCTTTTTCGGTAAAATCGTACACATTTTTCGAAATATCATATTTTCGAAAATTAGTTTTCCAAAAACCAGGAGTTCGAAAAATTTGCGCCAAGCTATCAATAGGAAATTGCCGCAAGAGGTATGAAACTACAATCCAAAATTCTCCGAAATTGAAAATGCAATTTCGATGGTGATTCTCGAAAACGTGGCTTTTCGGAGATATCACTTTTTGTTAAATGATTTTCGAAAAAGTGACTTGCAAAAATAGTATTTCCTTTATCTTTCTCTCTAGAAAATACTTCGTCAATATCTATCTAGCTCTCTCTACCTCCCTCTATCTCTAATTATTCTTTGTCGCTCTCTCTCGCTCTCTCTCTCTCGCTCTCGCTTGCCTGTGGGTTAAAAAATCGAACTTTACCGAGCGCCTTTTGCAGTTTTGAGCGGTCGGTAACTTCATGCTTTATTCATTGCATTTTCAAACCTGCCCAGGCTCTCGCTTTCAAAAAAATATATTTTATGTTTCCAGGTCCTCACCATCGAATGTTCAGATGGCGTAGATTCTCCACGAATCTATTTTTGGTCACCGCCGCTGTCGGGGCTTTCATATTTACGGTTAGACAGATTGGTAGGATTTACAAAACTTGAAGAATTAGTAGAGTTGTTATTCGACCCGGGTCGAAATGGTCGAAACTTTTGTAGGCTCCCGCAGCGAAAACTTAGTAAAATTCATAACTTTTTTCTAAAGTAGAATTCCGCGATTGCGTCTTCATTTTTGATTCTGTGAGATGATTTCCTACATTTTGAGCCCTTAAACTATAAATTTTCATGCTAGAATCAGAAAGAACGGCATACCATGGCAGGGGGAAGTGTTTCTGAGAAATGGCCGCGCGCGGAACAAGGTAAGCAGGCCGTTCTTTATGATCAACTATAATAAAAAAGTTGTGGTGTCTGTCCGTCCGTCTGAAGCCGAATTCAACTCGAAGGGGAAAGGAGCTAGAGCTTAGCTCTCTTCGGATTCGGATAGAGCGCCATCAAAAACCCCCAAACTGATAAAAAAATTATGAAAAAGTTTTAGTTTAAATTATTAAAATTAACTTTGAAAGTTTTTCCCTTAGTAAAAGGGGTGGGGGACGGAGGTTGGGGTGATTTTGGACATAGTGAGCCAGGTGGCGCGCGTTCCGTGGATGAAAATTTTCACGGGGGATTTCATTTCTTTTTCTCTCTCATTTCATCCGGTCGGTCGTTATTTTCGTTTTTTAAAAGGATTTCGGCTAGGGGAGGTATCTAAAGCCATCAGGGAGGTATTTAGGTAGTTTTTGAAGGGGATTTCAGCCATGGGGGGTATCTGAAGCCATCGGGAAGGTATTTAGGTAGTTTTTGATGGGGATCTCAGCCATGGGGGGTATCTGAAGCCATCGGGAAGGTATTTAGGTAGTTTTTGATGGGGATCTCAGCCATGGGGGGTATCTGAAGCCATCCGGAAGGTATTTAGGTAGTTTTTGACGGGGATTTCAGCCATGGGGGGTATCTGAAGCCATCCGGAAGGTATTTAGGTAGTTTTTGAAGGGGATTTCAGTCATCGGGGGTATCTGAAGCCATCGGGAAGGGATTTAGGTAGTTTTTGATGGGGATCTCAGCCATGGGGGGTATCTGAAGCCATCCGGAAGGTATTTAGGTAGTTTTTGACGGGGATTTCAGCCATGGGGGGTATCTGAAGCCATCCGGAAGGTATGTAGGTAGTTTTTGAAGGGGATTTCGGCTAGGGGAGGTATCTAAAGCCATCAGGAAGGTATGTAGGTAGTTTTTGAAGGGGATTTCGGCTAGGGGAGGTATCTGAAGCCATCAGGAAGGTATGTAGGTAGTTTTTGAAGGGGATTTCGGCTAGGGGAGGTATCTAAAGCCATAAGAAAGGTATCGAAGTAGTTTTTTAAGGGGATTTCGGCTATGGGGGGTATGTGAAGTCATCAGGAAGGTATCGAGGTAGTTTTTTAAGGGATTTCGGTTATTGGGGTATCTGAAGCTATCTGGCAGGTATCGTAGTTTAGGTAGCTAAGTTTTTGCCGGGGTTTGGCCATAGAAGGTATCTGAAGCTACTATTGATGAAGGTAGAGGTGTAATGTGGTGGTGTATAATATGGAGGGAGCCCGAAGGCCAGTCGATTACAGTCGCGAAGCGGCTGTAATCGGCTGGTTCTAGCATGAAAACTTATAGTTTAAGGACTCAAAATGTAGGAAATGATCTAACAGAATCAAAAATGAAGACGAAATAGCGGAATTCTACTTTAGAAAAAAGTTATGAATTTTACAAAGTTTTCGCTGCGGGAGCCTACAAAAGTTTCGACCATTTCGACCCGGGTCGAATAACAACTCTAAGAATTAGTCTTTTTCTAGAACACAGATTCTCCAAGCCGGGTCATCACGGCTACCATTCTGAGCATCCGAAATTCCGGAAACCAGACTATGTATCGCACATCGATTGTCGAAGATTATTCGAGAAGGATGAGAAATATTTGGAAAGCTTGCTCTATACGAATAAACTGATCAAGAGATCGTTGGATAACAAGCTGCTGCCGAGGATCGTGGCAAAGGTATGGATAGTGCTTTAAAGGGACTGGGAAGCCCAGAAATTTGGCTGGATTTGGAACTTGGATTCGGCTCACGATATTAAAATGTATTGACAAAAATCTAGGTATTTATACGGAAATTTAATTACATTTATTTGTAGGAAGTCGCATTTGGTTGTATTATTAGGCAAAATTTAATTGGTTTTTGGTTGACATTTTTAGAAAAGCAGCAATTTCTTGACTATTTTAAAGGGACTAGGAAAGCGTAAAACTACCGCTTCCTTCGGCTAGTTGCCGACAGATACGTAACACGCCAAAATCCGGCCTAATATATTTTTCAATCCAGTAGAAACATGAATTCATGGGAAAAAACCTAAATGCTATTTTCGAGCTGTCTTTGCATATATCATAGTAATGTCGAACCCAGGCGCGATCGGGTCAATTCTGACGCTTCCAAAACGCTTTAAACTCTATTTTATCACCTAATATTGTCTTAAATCTTATAAGTTTCCTTCTTTCAGGAAGAACCATTCGAAGACAGCTGTCGAAAACTTCGAGATCGAATTATTGGCGACCACCCGGCGCCGTATCTGAATTATTCAATAGCTTTTGCGAGGAATATTTATGCGGTGAGTTACTCGAATACCGTAGTACCTAAGCGTATTATTTTCAGGACTACGAATCGCTCCAAATTCTTCTCACGGCTACATATAGTCCGGAAAATCATTATTGCTATCATGTCGATGTCAAAGCCACTCAAAAATTTAAGGATCAGATCGCGAAATTGGAGCAATGCTTTCCAAATATATATGTGACTAAAGGTAATTTAATAGCGGCCATCAAAATGGTGTGCTCGAAAAATTATTAGTGAAATCACGTCCCTAGAAATCAGTGCAATTTAAATTTTTAATCCTCAAAAAGTTGCGTCGTTAAAACTAACTGCGGCCTAGAAAAATATGTATTGTTTCGTTGGCTAAATAATTTAATTTAAGCGTTAATGCTTTAAAGACAACGAAAAACACCGATTTGGGATTTTTAGAACAATACAACGTCACCAGCGACGGCAAAAACAACAACATTGCGCACTTGAAATGTATGGAAATACTGCTGGAAAAGCCTGGATGGGTGCACTTGATTTTACTACAGGCTCACGACCTGGTGGCGCACACCAATTCCGAGTTGATGAAGATGCTCAAGGTAAACATTAGCATCACTAGCACCAGGTTTTGCATAAAATCATTCAAACATTTTTTTAGCTTCTAAACGGGACTAACGATTCAAATCTTAGTGGCATGTTATGGAATCGAGTACCGCCGGGTCTATCTTTCGACGTTAAAGACTTAAATTTGTGGACAAATTGTAGGTCTCTCTCTCTTTCTCGCTTCATTCTCTATTCTCTCTGTCTCCCTCTCTCTCTCTCTCTCTCTCTCTCTCTCGCTCACTCTCTCTCTCTTTCGCTCTCACTCCCCCCCTCTCTTTTTCCTCTCTCTCGCTCACTCTCTCTCTCACTGTAAGATGCAGTTTTTTTCTAGACACGACTCTAACCTTCGACGAGCGCAAAAATGCTAGGCTAGAATTTGCAAAGGGCCTGGAAGAAGCCACTTATATGTAAGTCAGGTTCGAAATAAGATTTCCATTGCTGTCACTCCCCCTTTAAAATCGCATTCCAGAAGGCCGGCCATCCAATGGTTAGTCAAAGAAATCAATGTCACGACACTGATGGACCATTTTAATAACGGAGTAAGTTCCGGATCTAAAACCTCTATAGCGGGTTTGCCAATCAGTCTAGGAGTTCCCAAAACATTGCTGAAAAATCAAAATATCCCGAAAATTTTAGCACCACTCTGTCGATGAGCAGCTATTTGCTACGCTTTTGAACTCCGAAACGCTACGAATGCCAGGAGGATACCACAGCGCGTGCATGAAAAATCGACCTGATGGCTTCTTTACTTATATAACAAGGTAATCAGATAAATTTAGTCTTTTACATAGTGATTTATCGCTAGATCAACACCTAAATTTAATTTAAATTTAAAATCCCTTATCTGGATAGATTTACTGATTTTCAGACATACGCGATGGTCTTTCGAGGGACATAAAAATTGCAATGAGCGGCATATGATATGTTTGTACGGGATTGAGGATTTACAGGATGCTAGGTCAGCGATCTCTGTCTCTTTCTCTCGCTCTCACTCGCTCTCTCTCTCTCTCTCTCGCTCTTCCTCTTTCATAATCTTTTCCAGACTCACCGCCCGTCGTGTCATCTCCCTCAACAAGTTCATCGGGTCCTTCGATTTTGCAGCAATCACGTGTATGGCCGAGAGTTTGTTTAATAGAACGCATGGAGGCGATGAATATTTTGACGCCGAGCATATCGCCAATCACTCAGGGGTAGGCAATACAGAATTATTGAGGAAGCGCAGACGAGAGAGATAGAGAGAGAGGAGAGGAAGATGAAAAGGGCCAGAGCGAGAGAGAGAGAGAGAGAGAGATAGCGAGTGAGAGAGAGGATGGCTATGAATTTAACAAAATTAAAAATTTTTAGAATCGCTATCAACGGGCCACCCGGCTGCCGGGCTTTGATCTCAAGAATTTCACTTGTAGAGATGTTTAGATTTGTGATTAATAAACTTATTGACAAAAATGCAAAATCGGCTGACAGGTTGGTGCTCATAGAATGGAGCATGAGCGAACCTAAAAAAACTTGTTCAAATTTAGTTAATACTCATGATGATTTTCTCTTACTATCTGTCGATCCTTCGCTCTCACTTTCCCTCTCCTTTTCGCGTTCTCGCTCTCTCACCCTCGCCTCCTCTCTCTCTCTATCTCTCTTTTTCCCTAGCTATCTCTCGCTCTCTCTCTCTTTCTCCCTCTCTTACGCTCTTGCCTTCTCAGTTCCTTTAAAAAGCGGCAAAAATCACATTCCCATTATTCAAGAAGCCACTGCCACGCCCGAGCCCCTTTTCTACGCAGCTCCTCCCGATAAAGGGCCGTAATTTCTGGACAGAGTTGTAAATTTAGGGATTCCTGAGGGGGCCTATGGGCTGGGTGATAAGCAACGGCAGCAGGATTTTGCGCCCCCTGGAGCTATGGCTAAATTAATTTTACTAATTTGTGCGTTGACGCTGGTGGGAGGTGCGTGATACTTTAGGTCTAGTGACTTAAAAAGTCCTTTAAAAACTATTCGACTAAAGTATAAAAATATATTGGTAATTAAATGGCGTAATTTATTGAAAAATTCCTATATTTTAGGAGCCGCCGCTCAATGCCCTTCAAACTGGACCCAAATTTCGAATCAATGCGTTTGGTATTCCGGTAACACTTACAGGGTAAGTACCTTTTTAAGTTCTTAAGTTTTTTTGTGTTCTTCTACTCGTCTTTTTTAATTTATCGATTTTATTTGGTCCCGGAAAAAGAGTACTATAACATATCCTAAGACCGTAAGCTAGTGCTTTCCAGAGCTGGGACGACTCGCAAGCGTATTGCAAATCCGTCGGTGGGCAGCTGGCCGGCAGCTACAACAAGTCGATTTTGCCGCAGTTGCAGAGTATGTAGATGGGGTTTTAAAGGCGCTGGGAAGCTGATTTAACTGTCGATCCCCAGTTGCTGGGCGTCTTTCTTTGGGTTTCACAGTCCTTTAAAATAGGATATTTTTAGAACTTGTTACTGCGCCGTTATATCCGGCGTGGACCGGCCTTTTCCGACCCAATGCCACGGCTAGCTGGAAGTTCATCGACAAGACATCGGCCCTGTATTTATCTGGACAATGGGCTCCAGGTAAGAGAGAGAGGGAGAGAGTAAGAGAGAGGCAGATAGAGAGAGAGATAGAGAGAGAGAGAAAAAGAGAGGGAGAGAGTGTGAGAGAGAGAGTGAGAGTGAGAGAGTGAGAGGGAGAGAGGGAGAGAGCTGGTTAAAATCCCGACTTTATTTCAGGTCAACCTGCCGCCGGCACGGGCAATTGTGGAGGCGTCCAAACCACTGGACTTGCCGCTATTAGCTGTAAATATGTTCAACCCTTCCTCTGCTCCCAGAAGATTGCTACGTATGTTTTGAAAACCTTGCGCTACCGCCCGCTTCTCGAATACGCTACGCTCCTCTGAACTCTGTCCTCTAGCGTATCCTTTCCGAGCCAAAACCGGCTGAAAAAGCTGGCTGACGTGTTGTGAGGTTCTCACGTTTTACGTTAAATAATTCAGCTGCCCGAGTAAGAACTACACGACAAGCACCGGAACTGTGACTTCACCGAATTACCCTTTGAATTATGCGAATAATGAGCACTGCCGACAATACATCGTTGCACCCGCTGGATACTACGTGACGCTGACGTTTAACGCGTGGCTTGTCGAAAAGTAAGTAAGAGAGAGTAAGAGAGAGAGAGAGAGAGAGAGAGAGAGAGAGAGAGAGAGAGAGAGAGAGAGAGAGAGAGAGAGAGAGAGAGAGAGAGAGAGAGAGAGAGAGAGAGAGAGAGAGAGAGAGAGAGAGAGAGAGAGAGAGAGAGAGAGTAAGAGAGAGAGAGAGAGAGAGAGAGAGAGAGAGAGAGAGAGAGAGAGAGAGAGAGAGAGAGAGAGAGAGAGAGAGAGAGAGAGAGAGAGAGAGAGAGAGAGAGAGAGAGAGAGAGAGAGATAGAGAGATAGAGAGAGAGAGAGAGAGAGAGAGAGAGAGAGAGAGAGAGAGAGCGATGTAGGGAAAGCCCACCAGAGATGAATTGTCGTTTTCAGGAATTACGACGTGGTCCTCATCTGGGATGGTTATGCCCCGAACGTCAACGCCCAGCTGATCGCCAAGTAAGTCAAGCTTCGAAAACGGAATTTGCCGATGAAAAATCGATGGAATCGCTAAGCATTTTAATATTTTACGCTTTCATTTTTATTTGTTTCTGAAAATTTACATAGTTAATGAATGCCATGCGCAGTCTTTCAAAAATACTGTTCTAAAATGCGTAAAACAAAAAATATCCGTGTTTTAGCATCAGCGTCGACCCAACCAATGCCACCGTTTCTCAATACAAAGACGGATTCCAGGTTGTCCAGATTCGAGTGAACCTTGAAGATAACCGAAGTTTAGACCTATTCCAACATCATGACCATCGAGTTCATCAGCGACAGCATCGTCAACTACAAGGGCTGGTCAGCGTCGTATAAGATGTTGTGGGTTTTAGCGTGAAAAATAGAGCCCTTCAGCATTTTCTAAGCTTAAAAAGTAAAATCCTGCTCTAACTACTATCCTAAACAAGGATACTAGCTACCGAACCCAAAGAGCAAAAGCCATTAGCACTGTCGGGACTCGAACCCGCCCCCTCCCGCCGGTTCGGTATTCCGCGCCCCATACGGTTTAACCACGTCCCCATGGAGGGGCAGAGACATCTAGGCCCCGCCCCTCCCTACCCACGTGGCAGGCCTGGGAATTTTGCGGGCCGGGCCGGGCCGGCCCGGCCCGCCGGCCCGATTTCGCCGACCCGACTTTTAAGGGTCAAATACGGGGTTGGCCAAAAAACTCCCGCCAAGCTGGTTTAACGCCATTGCAAGGTATTTTGCTGTTAATACGGTATTAGTGGACCATTTTGCAGCACTTCTGTTAATAAAACTTGATTTTCAAAGTTATAACAATTTTTAAGAGCTAAATATCGACCGATCTCAGGGTAATAATGTTAAATTAAGCCATTTCGGGTTAAAATTCGCCATATTACTATATATTTTGAGGCTTAGTTTAGTACTACGATACATACTGATACATCTAAGAAAAAATCCGGTCGCACTGACATAAAAATTCAAAAAGCAAAAAAAAAGACGCCGGGCGGGGTCGAACCTGGACCGATTTCCTGGTAGGGACTTAGTCAAGAAAAGGACCAAATTTTTTATTGAGGCTGTATAATAACGCCAAATTAACTATTCGTGAGCGAAATATGCAAAATAAGTCCCAATTGCCCCCCAAAAAAGATATTTTTGGAATTCGTAAAACCCCCCGGGCCGGGCCGGGCCGGCCCGGCCCGGCCCGGCATTTTTCAATTTCTCGGCCCGGCCCGGCCCGGCCCGAAAAATGCCGATTTTTCTCGGCCCGGCCCGCAAAATTCCAAGGCCTGCCACGTGGTACGCGTGGTGCAGAGGTTAGCATGTCGGACCCCCAATCCGGAGACTCGGGTTCGAACCCCGGCGCGTGCAAAACATTTTTGCTTTTTGCTTTTTTGTTGGAAGGAAGGGTAGGGTTGACAGAATCTTCCGGGATTTTTTATAGAGCTTTCGGCGTGCTGGAAATTAGGGAAAAGTATAAAAACAGATAGTTTAAACGGATTTTCGCATTTTCAAGGTAGGAAAAAAAAATTACTACATATCCAAAGACTTAAATAGCTACGGAGAGGAGAAAGGGCTGTTTGTGGGGCTTGTCAGTACATTGAATTTGTGAAAATTCTACGACTTTCAAAACCATTTTCAGGGCTCCACAAGTTCCGGTCTACCAAAACGGTTCCTCCGGCACGATGATCAGCCCGAATTACCCCGGCCAGTACATGAACAACCTCGAGCAGTATTATCAGGCCGTCGCGCCGGACGGCATGCAGGTAGCCTAAAAAACCTTCCTTGATGGTTTACAGTACGCATTAAACGTCTTTAGATCTGCACCAGCTTCAGCTACTTTGACACCGAGCTAAACAAGGATCGGCTGGAGATGTATGATGGGCCAAACTCGACATATCCGCTGATTGGAAAGTAAGAGCGAGAGAGGGAGAGAGAAAGAGAGAGAGTGAGAGAAAGAGAGAGGGGGAGAGAGAAAGAGAGAGAGAGCGAGAGGGAAAGAGAGAGAGAGCGAGTGAGAGTGAGAGAAAGCGAGCGAGAGAGAGAAAGAGAGAGAGAGAAAGAGAGAGAAAGAGAGTGTGAGAGAGAGAGAGAGAGAGAGAAAGAGATAAAGATAGAGATATAGAGCAATATCTATGCCTTTTCTTCAGCTTCTCCGGCCACTCGGTCGCACTCCCCTCAACACGCCAAACTACCGGGAACGTGTTGACAATGTTCTTCTACACCGACTACTCCCTTGTCTACAAGGGGTTCAGCATGGATTGGGGTGTTTGCTAGACAAAATTGGAGCTTTTTCCTCGATTTGGTTTTTTCGTAAACTATGCAAAAAAATTTATTTCGTGGCAATCCTCCTGTCGATCACATTTATCACACCATTTGAGGCTTTTTGAGAGGTTGAGGTCGGCTCCAACCCGGCCGATGGGAACATTAAGGCACATAGTTGCAGCACCACGTTTCTTACCTAAAAAAGACAGTTTTAGGTTTTGAAAATTTTGAAAAATGCTGAAAACACAATTAACGTGCTAACTCCTAAAATCTAGTTTTTTTTTTCAGAAAAAATCGAACTTTTTCTTTGATTTTTAGATACTTGCCTTATCATTAAAAATCAATAACACTATCGGATTTGCTGAGAGAGCAATAGCCGAAGTCACTGTTGTCGTGAAGGCAGAAGCGATTGAGTTTGGAAATAACTTGGGTAGTAGAAAGAAGATGAACGACGACGACCAAGAGAAGAGACACACGAGCAGGCAGTGGAGCGCCTAAATATAAAAATTATAGAGCTTATGGCAAAATATAGCAAAATAATATAGCAAAATTCGTATATCCATTTCTGAAGAATCACAAAGCTCCACTAGCTAGCACCAGATTTGCATCCAAATTAATCTCACCAATCTCATGTCGCGCTTCACGTGTTCTACCCGTTTTCTCGAAATCTCTCTTAATCTCGACAGAATGGCAACGTAGAAGATGATCATTAATGCCGGAACGACCTCGCCTGAAAATCAACGTGGGCATAAGCCTAAAATTTTTTATAAATACCGGATGCGTTTCTAAATCTTTTATAGCTATTCCTAAACATAAAAAATCCACAAAATTTAATTAAAAAATTTAGTTTTAGTTCGAAAAATCCGAAAAAAGAGCCAAAATGACCAAATTTTCGACTTTTTCAAACATTTTTCCTTTTTTTGAACGTTTTTCTAATTTCAATATAGTTGAAATTTACTAAAAGCAATGTGAAAACACTTTATATTTGATTACTAGGTCAATCGGGACAGCCAGTAAAAAAATTGGTCCCCCCGCCCGGAAATCCTTCCCCCCCCGGAAACCCTAAAGAACCCTTTTATCCGTCTTTTTTGATTTCTGATTTCGCCCAAGATCAATCTGTAATTTTTTCATACCAATATTAGTCAGGTTTTTCTCAGAAAAAGTTGCAGCTGCTTCACTTCCATTCCTATTGTCCTTATATTTTTCATCATTCAAAGACCCGGCCGGCCGCCCACCTGCTATAATGTAAATATTCACGGCCCCACCACAATTCCCACAGCCAAAAGTGAAGACGAGGGAGCGGGGGCTAAAAAGATAATTGTAATTTTCAGAATAATTTTCTCGTTTAAATCGGTGTGTTCCATCTTGACGTTCATCCTGACGAGAGAAAGAGAGAGAGAGAGAGAGAGAGAGAGAGAGATAGAAAGAGAGCGACAGATAGCAGGGGAGAGAGAGAGATAGAAAGAGTGCGATAGAGAGGGGGAGAGAATTAAAGCGAGAGAGCGAAAGAGCGTTAGACTGAGTGAGAGAGACGGAGCCAGATTTTTGAGCCCTAGCTAAAAATGGAGTCGTTGCAAGCTGAATTCCCTTATCAAAAATAGAGTTTTCCAAGTATGCTGACAATCAGCTGTTGGCTATTTCCGGCGAACTGGTCAAAAAAATCGACCGACGCAAAGCAACGTTCGAAAGGAATACGGTATCGATACCTAAAAACCTTAAAACATCCGAACGCCTCCGGTAGTGCCGTTAGCAACGCAGAATAGAGATATGCAACGACGTGGAGAGTACCCTAAAAGCTTGTTCCTCCTTTTCATAAGACTGTATCGTAACTGGGATTGACAAAACTATACAATAAAACCTACCGTAATCTGTTTAATATAATTGTAAGGTATATGAGTGCATAACACTAAAAATCGATCAATAGATATCACCAGCAACAGGGCTTGATGTAAATAGTAAGTAGTCGTATTGAGACGGGCGGCGAAAATCATCTCTGGTAGGTTTGAGATGAAGCCGTAGCTCTCGAGTACCACTAAAAGTTAATTTGAATTCAAGGCAGGCTAGCAGAAAGTATTTAGGAAAGGCTCATTCTCCAAAGCCCGGAATTACCTGGAATTGCAACGATAAAATTATCCATTAGGTACCAGAAGCATACAAAAGACATCGAGAAGTTGATCTGAAAATAATTAAGATTTTTATAAATTGTTTTTTATCTATTCAAGCTGCAAGATTAATTACTTCATGGTACTATATTTCCTTTGTAATCATTAAAAAATTTATATTTAAATTTTTTGATTTATTTTTGGCAATTTTTTGAACAGAAATTTTCCGTTAGACTCACGTGATAGATCTCATTCGGCATAAACTGTCGGTGATGAAGTATCAAAATTACGAATACAAATAGATTCCCCGCCAATCCTATTGACGATACGATAGCGTACAGGGTGGCGTAGAGTAGCCGTAGTTCTGCGGAGGCGAGGATTATCGTCTCGTTTCCACATTGTTCAAAAGTCAGCATAAATATTGTTTTTAAAGGGACCTGAAAGCCCGGTTTTTTTGTTTGATTTTGTCCAAATTAGACAACAGAATTAAGTTACAAGCTTCAAAATTTGATCTCGGGTCTATTTTGCGATTTTAAAAATTTGAGATCTGTAAAGGAGAAATTTTAGCGAATACCTACCATGAAGAATTGTGGAAAAGGAAATGCGTCAATCAAATCTGTAAAAAATTAGCACCTGCATCTTGGGGGTTTTGTGTTGAAAAGAGAAGGGGTCTGCACGGCCTTGGGCCCGATGTATGTTTGTGTCGCGTGCTAGGTTAAATTAATAGGGATGCCAGAAAAGGCACAATTCTTTTCAAGGAAAGTGATACAGGATTGACCTTGCATAAGAAAATAAAGGATTACTAGCCGGACCTGTATTTTGCTAACATATCAAAAATTAGCCCGACGACGGCTAAAAGAATCGACAAACTAGCAAGGAGAATTCGAATTTAGCTTCCAGCTACTGCCTCTTGTGCAAAAAGCAAATTTCAAAGTTTAACATGGACGTTTTTGACTCTTCAGATTGTTTCCAGTTTTCGGGGGTTTTTCCAAAAATTTTTCCAAAAACCAAAAAAAACAAGTTAGATAGGCTTCCTTACTTACAAGTTATAGAGACTTTAGAAGTCCCGAATAGACTCCGAAAGCAGGTGGCTGGCAGAGATTCTTACGGAAAAGAGTAGGTATAACAAAATCTAGGGTTTTTGACATTACCCCATAGACCCAAAAAACCACAAAGAACCTCAAGGGGCTTTTCTTATCTACCGCCTTCACATCAGCTGGTCCTAAAAAAAGGACAAACCAGCGAAGTCAATTGGAAAACAATCCGGATCAAGGTTCCCTTTCAATCAGAAATTCCGTCCAAACGTTAAAAGCCGTGCGCGAAATTGGCAGCCGCCTGCCGGAAAGCCAACAAGAAAAGAAAAGCACACCTCCAGGAGGTTTTTTTGCAATTTGCGCCTTGCGGAGTCATAACCTGTAATTAGGGTGTTGAATGTAGGTTTTACATGGCACTTGAAATTTGATTTTTGAATCCACGGATTTGGCGAAAATGCGGAGAAATTCGGGGCATCTCATCACTTTTTCTACTCGCTTACCTATCATACGTTTTGGTCACACGCATTTTGGTGAGACCTATGCAAAGTTTGAGGCTATAATTATGTCAGATTATGCAAATTACACGCTTCTTTTTAGAATGAATACCTCGGCGCCGCAAGCGCATGAATCGCCGGAGGACAGCTCGAAGAAGTGGGGGCCGAAGGTCGTCCGCAGTCTCGAGAAGGCCATCCAGTCCATGGAGAAGTCGCTGATCTCTCTCTGATCTCTCTCGCTCTCTCTCTCTCAATCACTATCTCAGTTCCTCTCAGTTTTACTTTATTCTCGCTTCAAAAACACAAAAAGTTATGCCGGCCTTCTGTCTTGGTCCTTTTCCATATCTTCTTAAAATCTCAAAGTTCAAAGTCAAAACCAAACGATTCTTTTGTCCCTCCTCTACCTTGCCTCCAAAAAGCAAAAAGCAAAAATGTGTTGCACGCGCCGGGATTCGAACCCGGGTCCCCGGATTGGGAGTCCGATATGCTAACCTCTGCACTACACGTACCACGGGATGGGGGCGGGGCGGAGCCTGGATGACTCCGCCCTCCCCAGGGGGCGTGGCTACATGGTATGTGGGACAGACTACAATACTAGGGGTGCGGGTTCGAGTCCCGCCCGTGGCGAGGGTTTTGCTTTTTGAACATGGGTGGTACTTGTAGCTTGTAAATACGTTTTCAAGTTTGTTTTTCGTTACTAATTGTAATTGATACAAATTGAGCTCTCTCTATCTCACTCTCTTTCTTTCATAATCGATATATTTGCTGTCTGCTAGCTTCAAAAAGAGGATCCTTCCCTTGATTGCATCCAAAAAGCAAAAAGCAAAAATGTGTTGCACGCGCCGGGATTCGAACCCGGGTCCCCGGATTGGGAGTCCGATATGCTAACCTCTGCACTACACGTACGACGGGAGAGGGGCGGGGCGGGGCCCAGATGTCTCCGCCCTCCCTTGGGGGCGTGGCTACATGGTATGGAGGTCAAACTACAAAACCGGGGGTGCTGGTTCTAGTCCCGCCAGGGGCCAGATTTTTGCTTTTTGATCCGCGAGTGTATTTGTAGCTTGTAGTCATGTTGCCGACCTTGAATTTGCTGACAATTTCGTGGTCAAAAATTTAAACGTTATTATATAAATCGAGCTGCAATTCTCAGAATATCGGCCCGGGACGTCGACTCGGCGATGCTGCTGAAGCCGCTGCTGAAGAAGCTGAAGACGATGCTCCGCAATTTTGAATGGGCAAATAGGTACCGTAGCCTAAGCGAAAACTAAGCTTAAGCTAAGCCTAAGCCAAGCCTAATCAAAGCCTAAGGCAAGCCGAAGCTAAGCCTAAGATAAGCTGAAGCCAAACCTAAGCTAAGCTAGCCTAAGCTACGTTAAACCGGGAAAGTCACTTTTAGCCCCCACAACATGCGCACAGCCGAATCGTTCGAGGACCCGCCGCCGACGTTTGGGCTCACGCAATCGGTAAAGGCGGGTTTTAAAGGGGCTGAGAAGGCTAGAGTCTGATTACCGTACGCCAAAAACTCTATCTTTGGGCTTGAAGTCGTAATTTTGGGAATCGAAATCGTGAAAATCACTCCTTTTCCAGCTGGAAGATCCGAACGCCTGGGAGAAGTTCACCAAGGCCGAGCAGCAGCTGATGAAGCAGAAGCTCAGCGAGAAGAAGAACGAGTATAGTTTTGCCCGATTTTCATATTTTTTGACCCCAAAATTTAAGATTTTATTGTGTTTTACGACTGAATCAATGATACCGATTTTTCCAGTTACCTCATCATCAAGAAGAGCCCCGGCGGCGACAACAAGGCGGCCAAGTCACCCAAGTCGTCCAAATCGAACAAGTCCAATAGGTCCAACAAGTCGAACAGGTCCAACAAGTCGTCGAAGAAGAAGAAGGCTAAATAATCGCCGCTTATTTCTTTTTTCCTCGCTTATTTTTGATGGCCGAACGTGTAATAATAAAGACTTTCATTACTTTTCTGTTTTTTTATTGTTTTTCGAACAAAACGCTTATAAAAAATGTTTTAGTTGCATTTCAAAACTCGACTTTATGGCCGAAAACGACGAGAAAGAACCAGCTTTTCGTTATTTGCAAAATATATGTATTTTAGTTTTTTCGATGCCTTCAACCGTTTCCGATAAAATTCTGAACTTCGTATAATTTTTTAAGTCTGGAAGCCAATTCCAGAGCTTTTTGATGTTTCAAAAATACTCCTACTCGTGCCTCCTCTTCAATAGCGGTGCAGCTGCTATTTTTAAAGCTCCAGGGCTCCGGAAGCAACTCGGATCTCTAGACTCCGCTCATCGCTCATCTGAAAAAATATGTTGTGACGGCCGAGGATGTGAATGCAAAAGGTCAACACTGTCTACCCAACAGCGTGTCTGCGCTCGATCTAGCTCGCAGCAAGTTCCATATTTACCCGGACCGGGACAGAAAGCTAAGCCCGTATTCTATCTTGGTCCTTTTCCATGAAGCCCATTAAACGTAAACCTTTAAAATCAATACCAATCAATTCTAATCTCCCTCCCCTTGTTTCCACCAAAAAAGCAAAAAGCAAAAATGTGTTGCACGCGCCGGGATTCGAACCCGGGTCCCCGGATTGGGAGTCCGATATGCTAACCTCTGCACTACACGTACCACGGGATGGGGGCGGGGCGGAGCCTGGATGACTCCGCCCTCCCCAGGGGGCGTGGCTACATGGTATGTGGGACAGACTACCATACTGGGGGTGCGGGTTCGAGTCCCGCCCGTGGCGAGGGTTTTGCTTTTTGAACATGGATGGTACTTGTAGCTTGTAAATACGTTTTCAAGTTTGTTTTTCGTTACTAATTGTAATTGATAGAAATTGAGCTCTCTCTATCTCACTCTCTTTCTTTCATAATCGATATATTTGCTGTCTGCTAGCTTCAAAAAGAGGAAAAACTACTTCCCATTAGACCCAAAGCCTTTAAAGTCAATGCCAATCGATACTACAACGCCTTCCCTTGATTGCATCCAAAAAGCAAAAAGCAAAAATGTGTTGCACGCGCCGGGATTCGAACCCGGGTCCCCGGATTGGGAGTCCGATATGCTAACCTCTGCACTACACGTACGACGGAGAGAGGCGGGGCGGGGCTTAGATGACCCCGCCCTCACCTGGGGGCGTGGCTACATGGTATGTGGGACGGACTACAAAACTGGGGGTGCGGGTTCGAGTCCAGCCAGGGGCCGGACTTTTGCTGATTGAATCTTGGGGGGCTTTGTAACTTGTAGTCGTATTTGAATTTTCGCTGCCGCTGCGTGCCGATGCGATCCGATGTGTCGGAGCCACCACAAAAGCATAGTATGACCCTGTCAATACCTTTAGCCTCTTCAATACTTCCATAACTTTCCCAAAACATCCCCGCTAGCCTACCTTATCTTAAAGGGGCTCCGAACTGCCAAATCAAAGCCCTTTTGGGCGACATCTTTGATTTCTGGCAAATTGCCAGCGGGCGCTGCAGGACGAGAGCCCTCATTCTTTCGATTTTTGCGCGACGTTGTTTTTGCCCAGTTTCTTTGTGAAAACACTATAATTCGCGCGTTCTGAGCCCATTTTTGAAATCCTCACTCAATTTTAAATAGTTTTGGTGTTTTAAGCATCAAATTTGGCCCGGAAGCAGCCGAGAACGTGGTTTCGAGGTGACAACAGGCATTTTCAAATTTGCGAGCTTCCCGGGCCCCTGGGCGTACAGAGGCCTCCGACGTACAGGGCTCCGATTTTCGGGCCGTCATTCAATTTTGGCATTTCGTAGCCCCTTTAAGCCAGATCCCATTGGTCCGATTTCCACATCCACATCGCCGTCTAGCCATGCAAAAGCCTCCGGAAATGAGCTCAATCCGGCTATCCAGCTAGTGTGACCTTCGGGAAAAGTTGCCCTTTTCCCTACTAAGCTCGGCAATCAACCCTCAATTTACCCGAGTTGTTTTCAGGAACGCGCACGGCACACCCCCGGGAAGTTCGAGTGCAAAGTTCGGGAGCTCGAGCAGGAGTGCCCGAATATTGAATTGTCCCCCGGGGAGTGTTGTTTTTGGGCGATTCTTCAAGTGTTGCCAAGAACTCGGAGGAGTAGATAAGCTTGGAACACTGGCCGAACTCGTTTTTCTTGCCAGTCTGCCAAAAATATCCAGTGCTACGGTACTTTACTGCTACACCCTCAGTCACGCTCTTTCTCGCGCGCTCTCTGTCTCTCTCTCTCTCTCACTCTCTCTCACGCTCCTTCTCGTCGAGTTAAAGGAAGCCGGACACTTGCGAAACGACCCGTTTTTTGGCTGGATATCGACAGGTACGCGATACGTAAAATGACACTTTTGTGGCCGAGGCGTATCTTCGCGGTATCTGAGCATGACCACTGTTTTGGCACTTCCCAACTTGATTTGAAGACTTGAGATAAGTATAGCTGTTTGCCACGACCATAACCTCAAGAGGGTCAGCTGTTCCTCACACCCCGTGCTCACCACTTACTTTCAGGCCCCTTTTTTCCTGACATCCATCCCGGCCGGCATTTGTGACAGATTGTTTGATCCCCTGAATCTATCGACGATATTGTTGCCACTGCAAGATAGAACGCTTTGACTTTCTCGCTGCCCCGAGAGTTGGATGTGAGGGGCCGGCATGGATAGCTGCCCCGAGAGAGGCATTCCGCGTGCTTCGGTAGCTCAATAGGGAGAGCATCGGACTCGAAAGCCTTAGGATGCGGGTTCGACCCCCGCCCGGAGCACTTGTTTTGCGGATTGGACCCGGAGCTAGTCCATGGCCATGGGACCCCAGAATTCCCAACTGGCGACCACGGAAGGATCCACCCGGGCTCTGACAGATGGTACACAGTGTCTGATGACTGTGGGACCAGTCATCCCTGGGGGGGTGGATGGTTGGATGTGAGGGGCCGGCATGGATAGCTGCCCCGAGAGAGGCATTCCGCGTGCTTCGGTAGCTCAATAGGGAGAGCATCGGACTCGAAAGCCGTAGGAGCTTTATGAAGGTCTCCACGTCGCGACAGAATCTCGGAAGACTTTCTCTTAGTTTTTCTCTTATCTAAATGCAAATCAAATCGTGTTTAATTTCGATTACAGCGAAGTTAGGAAAATTAGAAACTAAAAACCCCCAAATGCTTATTTTACCTCAAAAAAATTGGTTTCGTTTTCTCTTTTGGCCTAAAGTAACTAGGGGCTAGCCAAGGGGGCGCAAAACTTCTTGGCGCTGCATCCTGGATACCAGCAGCAAATCGGGCAATTCCACGTCTTTCTCTCTCTCTCTCTCTCTCTCTCTCTCTCTCTCTCTCTCTTTCGCTCTCTCTCGCTCTCTCTCTCTGGTTCTTTCTCTCTCTCGCTCTCTCTCTGTCTCTATCTCGCCTTCTCTCTCGCTCTCTCTCTCTCTGTCTGTCTATCTCTGCCACGACAAACTATGAAATTTTCGTAAATACGTATTATCGGCGTAACGTTCATTACTGCGTACATTTTCCACATTCCACGTCGTGTGTTGCCCATCCCATATCGTTATTTTTATGTAGTGCGTCGTTGGCAGGCCCTTTTTCGGGCTTTTGGCAGCCTTTTGGAATTTATTTGCGTATCGATTTTAGCAAGTAAATTATAGTTTCGTTTAGCTTCAAAAAAATTAAAAAATCTTGTAAGGCGAGGGAGAACGAGAGAGAGAAGAAGAGGGATGAGGAGAGAGAGAGAGAGAGAGAGAACAATGCAGAAAACCGTTTCAATATTTGCAACAATCCCGGAACTAGCAAAAATTGGCTCCATTTTTCCCCACCCTACCACCATTTTTTGAGCAATTTTTGTGTTGCTTTGCATCTTTTTTGACCCATCCTTCTCACTCCCCCTTCTTAAGATCTTTTCCAAGAAGAAGATCGACCCTCCTTGGGGCTTGCCGACAAATCCAATTCCAACCACTATTCCCCTTCCTGCCCTTTCTCTCTCTCTTCTGCCCTGAAAGGTGCTTCTCCTGCTCCTTCTCCTGCAACGCCCCATGGTCCAGATTTTTCCTGCAGAAGCAGTGGCATTCACCCACCCCCTCATTTTTGGGTGGAGGCAGGTGGCACGATTTTTTGTCATTGGCTCCAGGATTTGTCCAGAATTTGGTGGATCAAAGATTCATGTTCTTCTTCGATTGTTGCTTTTTGTTTAAATTGGCTGTCAAATGCCGGCTTCGACCTCTTCCATCCACTAGATCTCAGCCTGTACGAACTACACCAATAAACGTGGCTACATACGGTTGCTTCTCGTATCTGCCTTCGCTAACTCGCCTTATTAGGTGTATTTGGTATTCTTTGATCAGTAATTGGCTATTTCACGGGAACGGAACGCTCTCACGACATAGTCTGCCAGGCCCATTACTGCGAATCAGGCGTTCGGAAATTTCCTCGTATCATTTCACCCCAATTTTTTGACTCATTATTTTTGCGCTGTTGCAGACAAGAAGTACCCGCAAATCTAAAAGTTCAGCCATATGTTCAAGTTTCATACTCAGCGATTCCTCTTTTAGAATTTTCTACAAGCTGTGATATCCCCTGAAAACACTTGTTTTTCCTGGATCATGCGGAAAACAGAACATTCTCAGGGCCGCTGCCCACACCTACTGAGATAATCAAATCCACCGAAAAACACTCGGCTCGGCGCGTAGCCTATCGGGGACACCGAGATCAAATTGTCGCGGGGCCGCGGAAACACCGCCCTGCTCCCATCGCCGCAACAATCCACTTAATCCCAGCCAGGTCTCGGGACCAAAACTTGCTTTTCTGAGGGGGTTTGCTAACTATCCGTCTTCTTTAGCGCCGTTATGTAATGTTCCCATCCTTCCTGAAGGATCTCTGCTAGCTGCCCAGTGTCCCAATTTCCTCAAAAATCTCTGCTAGCTATCCATATTTTGCTAGCT